TAGAATAAAATGTTTTTGTTTACAAGCAGATACCCTGTTCTTTTGATGTTTTTTATGTTCAGATATTCATGTAACAAAATATATTCAAATTAATACCTAAATAGGGACATAGTAGTATACTTCAAGTATGATGTAAAGTTCACTTAAAGAAAACTTACGAGTATACTTGCAGTATAAAACTACTAAACTAGTAGTTTACTAAGACCATACTTCAAAGTGTACTAAAAATGCTACTACAAGTTTTTAATTAGAAAACTATCAGTATGCATATGTTCACTTTTAGTATAGTTGCAGTACAAGCTAAAAATATTGTTGTAAACTAGTTGTGTACTCAAAGTTTACTACTGTTATTCTTAAAGTATACTTTTATATACTAGAAAGTGGGCCAATTTAGTCCCAAGGAGTATTGAAATAGTACACTTACAAGTATACTACTAGTACACTGATATTTGTATACTTGCTACATAAAGTATACTTAAAAATATACTTGAACTTTACTTAAATATACTTAATAAAATAAACTTGAAGTATACTACTTTTTGGTAAGGGAACACTGGGTCCAGGAAGTGTTTGTGTGTTGTTGTTTTTTTTATTGATAAGATGTGAATGTTTAACCTGTTCAATGTTGTTCAGATGTAGGTCATGAACATAGAGAAGGAGGAGCTGATCTGTGATGGAAAGATGATCAGTCATTGTGAATAGTTCAGCCGACATCTGCAAGAGCCCAACAGTTGCTACAGTTATGGATTCAATATTATACATATACAAATATTATTTTGATAACAGCAACAAACCTTTCAAAAGGGAACACTTACCAACAGCGCCCTCTTGAGTCTAATCATTTAAAATATTCCGAAAGCACAGCTTTATGACTGGCTGATTCTTGAAAAATAGCTAAATGAAAAGCTAACGTTGTCTGAAAGACGCTTCAGAAATGAGGAAAGCTATTTGATAGGTAATTAAAAAGCGATAGACTAAAAAAAACAAACTGTGCTTTCAGTTGTGGCCATCTATGAGTAGACTATTCTTTTTGAATCAAAACATTGTATTGCTGCTGTATCTGCAAAACATTTACCAACTGAAGAGCTCATTTGACTAGTGAAGTAAAATAAGAAAAGAGAGTAAAACTAAAACCTGTTATGAAGATAGTTGTTATTACAATGGGTTATTAATTATTATTATTATTATGTAGAATCTGCTTATCTGCATGGGTAAAATTAATTGGATGAAAAATCATATCAGTTTTAGTGTTTTCATTTGAAATAGTACCTTACAAAGTTTGATGTTTTATAATGTTTTACATGAAATTGTTGACGTTTACTTGTACTACTTCACTACATTTCAAAGTGATGAAACTTTTACGTTTTTAGCTTTTTTTTTTTTTTTGTATTTGGTTTGGTTTCTGGCGTGTCTGCCAGCTTAAAAGCTCGGAAAAGAAAGCACGCAGCCAATTTGTTGTGCACTGTCTGAGTCTGAAACTGAGTTATCCAGAGAAGCTGTTTCAATGGTTCCCTTTCAGCTCTTAACAGTTTGTCAAGTGGAACATCTACAGCTAGGTGATTTTCCTTGGGGGGAAAATGAAGGGAAAACATTCATTAAAAGCAACATTGATAATCCGTTGCACTACATTTTCCGGAAACTTTCCATGGGAACTTAATCTGGGGAATTTTGGAAAAATTCTAAATTGGAAACTTAACAGGAATTTATGGGAATTAATTGGTAATTTGGGGAAATTTATAGAAACTGTATCATATACAAACATAAATATAAACATTTTGTTTGATCATAAGTTGACATGAATGCAAACTAATACAAATTGTAAAAATGACATTTTTGGATTTTTTTCAAATTTTTGTTGCTTATGATACTTTTTTCAGGATTCACTGATGAAAGAAAACTTCAAAAGAATGTCATTTAAAAAAAAAAATAGAAATCTTTACTAATAATATATGTCTTTACTATCACTTTTTTTTAAATCAATTTAACACATCCTTGTTGAATAAAAGTATTAATTTCTTTCGAAAAAAAAAATTGCTGACCCCACACTTTTAAACTGTAGTGTATTGTTTTAAAAAAAGATTTCCATTTTAAATAAATTATACTGTATATAAATCTTGTAAAACTTTTTATTCATCAAAAAAATCCTGAAAAAAATGTATCACAGGTTATAAAAAAAAAATAAAAAAGCAGCACAACTGTTGTAATGGCTGATGAAAATTCAGCTTTACCATCACAGAAATACATTATATTTTAAAGTATACTTAAACAGAAAAACATTATTTTAAGTTGTAATATACCTCACAATATTACTGTTTTGTCCTGTGTTTTTGATCAAATAAATGCAGGGTAAAATAACATTTTGTGTACGCACCATAACAAAACGATAGCTGAAATGTGGAACTTTATTCACTAAAATCAGTTTAATCTTACCAGAAACTCGTTCACTCTACTGTTATTTAATAGATTAAATGCACTAGAATTGTATTGAATAGTACGTGGAGACACGTTTAAAAATTAAAATATTCATATTAATCAAGGATTTACTGACTTTTAATGCACCTTATTTCGAAATGTACAGAAATATGTCCTTTAGTGCTTTTTTTTTTTTTTATTCACTATACTATTTATTACTAATGTTTCATTTCAGGTGTACTGTATAGTTTGGCTCTAGTTTTGTATTTATTCCAATTTATATGAAAAGGTTCATG